ATGATCAGTGTAAACAATTACTTTAGACCCTAGCAAATACGGTCTAAATTTATAAATGCATAGACAACTGCTAGTAATTCTTTTTCAGTGGTTGCATAATTCATTTGTGCACTATTCAGAATTTTACTAGCATAATAAATCACATGCAACAATTTATTCTTTCTTTGTCCTAAGAGAGCTCCTATGGCATAATCACTAGCATCTCACATTAATTCAAAAGGTAGTGTGAAGTCAGGTGCAATGATTATAGGTGCAGTGGTCAATTGATCTTTTAAAATATTAAATGCAACCAAATATTCATCTGTGAAGTTTAATTCCTCATCTTTGACCAACAGCTTGCGTAGTGGCTTTGCTATCTTGGAAAAGTCCTTGATAAAGCGTCTGTAGAAACCTGCATGACCGAGAAAACTTCGAATGCCTTTAACGTTAGAGGGAAGGGGAAGTTTCTCGATAACAGATATCTTAGCTCTATCAACTTCTATACCATCTTGGGACACCTTATGACCTAAAACTATACCATCTTTTACCATGAAGTGGCATTTTTCCTAATTTAAAACAAGATTACTCTCTTGACATCTTTGTAAAACACAAGATAAATTTTCTAAACAAATGTCAAAAGAAGGACCAAAAATAGAAAAATCGTCCATAAAGATCTCAAGAGATTTTTCAATCATATCAGAAAAGATGGAAAGCATGCACCTTTGAAAAGTTGTAGGAGTGTTGCACAAGTCGAAGGGCATCTTCCGGTAAGAGAAGACTCCGTAAGGGCATGTGAATGTTGTCTTCTCTTGATCTTCTGGAGTTACTGCTATTTGGTTGTAGCCGGAGTACCCATCTAGGAAGCAGTAGAAGGCATGGCCAGCTAGTCTCTCCAACATCTGGTCCAAGAAAAGGATGGGGAAGTGGTCCTTCCGAGTGGCTGCATTAAGTCTTCTATAATCGACGCACATCCTCCACCCGGTGACTGTCCTTGTTGGAATCAATTTGTTGTTCTCATTTCTTACCACAACGACTCCACCTTTCTTGGGTACCGTTTGTACAGGACTTACCCATGCACTATCAGATATAGGGTAGATCATACCTGCATCCAATAGTTTAACTACTTCTTTTCTAACCACTTCTTTCATGGTTGGATTGAGTCTCCTTTGCGGCTGCCTCACAGGTTTAATGTCATTTTCCATTAAAATTTTATGAGTACAAAAGGAAGGATTTATACCTTTTAGGTCGGAGAATGACATCCTATGGCAGCTTTGTGTTTCTTTAACACCTTGAGAAGCTTATCTTCTTCTTTTGTTGACAGCTCAACATTGATGATGACTGGATAAGTGTTGTTGTCACCAAGGAAAGCATACTTCAAATTTGGAGGTAACTCCTTAAGCTCCACCTTTGGTGCTCTAAGAGGGATATCATCTTTCTTTCTTTCCAATTCTTCCGCCACTGGTTCTTTATCAGCTATTTCAACTTCTTCGTTGATTTGTTCTAACTCGAGTGGGGAACTCTCCTCTTTCATAGCATCATCAATTGCTTCTTGTATTATGTCTATCATAAAACAATCTCCTCCATCTGTTGGATGTTTCATTGACTCGAAGACGTCAATGGTGACTGTTTCTTCGTTCATCCTAAGCATCAGTTTTCCTTGCTCCACGTCGATCATCGCTCGTGCAGTGGCTAGGAATGGCTTTCCAAGCAATAGGGGAATCTCGACGTCTTCTTCCATATTCAGAATTACAAAATCTGCAGGGAAGATAAATTTGTCAATTTTAACTAAAACATCCTCAATTACACCATTTGGTCGTCTGATCGATCTGTCAGCTAACTGAAGAGAAACTGTAGTCGGCTTGAGCTTCTTTATTCCAAGAGCTCTGCACATGGATAGTGGCATCAGGTTTATACTTGCTCCCAAATCACATAATTATTTTCCTACTTCAATATTTCCTATAGCTATAGGAATACTGAAGTTGCCTGGATCTTTCAGCTTGGGAGGAAGTTTCTTCTAGATGATTGCACTGCACTCCTCTGTCAAGGCCACTGTTTCGCATTCCTTCAACTTGCCATTCTTTGATAGAAGGTCCTTCATGAACTTCGCATAGTTCGACATGCTTTCCAGGGCTTCTGCGAAAGGAATATTGACTTGCAGTTTCTTGAAGATGTCCAGAAATTTGGTATATTGCTGTTTCTGGACCTCTTATTTCAGCCACTGAGGGTATGGAACTTTTGCATAGGGAGACGGGTTTGCTGCTTTTGGTTGCTTGTCCAGAGCTTTCTTTTTCTCCCATTTGAACAGCTTCTTCTCTGGACTGTTCTTTTCAGCTTCTGCATCTTTTTCTTTCTCTTGCTCTGCTTCAGGTTCAGCTTCTTTCTTCTTTTCAACTGGTGGCTTTTCCACAGGTTGGATCACGATCCCACTTCTGGTGACAATTGAATTACATTGTGCATTTGGGTTCGTGTCGGTGTTACTTGGAAAGGTGCCCTGAGTTCTTTCAGTGAACTGTCTTGACAGCTGACCAATTTGAGTCTCCAAGTTCCGGATCAAAGCTTCTTGATTCTGGAATGAAGCTCTTGTTTCATCTCTGAAGAAAACTGCATTTGGAATGTAGTCGGATGTGGTCTTTGACAGCTATGCAAAAGCCTTTCCCCATTCTGAAGTGGTGCCTTGAGGTTGTTGTTGCAATGGCATAAGAGGATTCAGTTGATGATTTGTTTTGTAACTAAACCCAGGGTGTTGGTTAGGATTTTCCACCCTTGATTACCATATTAATTCCTTCCTGGATTGTTCTGGTTCTTTTGATTATACCAGACTCCATTGACCTCTGCTGGTAGCTTTTCAGTTGTTCTTATATAGTCACAATCTTCAGTTACATGAGCCTCTTCACAAATACCACATTTAATATTAGAATTATTAACAGAAGAAACTTGAGAAAAATTAAATTTTTTATTAAGAGCATCTAATTGTTCTTGTTGTTTCTTGTGCATTTGTAGCATTTGTTCATTTTGGGCTAAGAGTTCATCATAGCCTTCAAGCTTCATAATTCCTGCTCTTCTTTGTGCAACTGGGGCAGGGGCATTGACAAATTCTTGAGAAGCTAGGGATTCCATCAATTCTAGCGCTTCCTCTGGAGTTTTTGTTTTCAAGGAGCCTCATGCAGCAGCATTTACCAGTGTTCTTATGCTGGACGTCATTCCTTGGAAAAAGATTCTTGCTTTCTCTTATGCTTCAATTCCATGTTGAGGACACTTCTTGAGTAATCCTTTGAATTGTTCCCAAGCCTCGTACAGAGATTCGCTTTCTTTTTGTTCAAAAGCAGTGATCTCCGCCTTGAGCCTTGCCATCTTTGAAGCTGAGAAAAATCTAGGCAAGAATTTTCTTGCTAAGTCATCCCAACTGGTTATGCTTCCTTCAGGTTGAGACTGCAGCCAATCTCTTGCTTCATTCTTCAATGAGCACGGAAATAGTCTGAGCAAGATAGCATAACGAGAAACTCCATTCACTTTTAATGTATCACAGTAAAGTAAGAAATCATCAAGATGACGATAGGGGTTCTCTGTGCTTCCTCCAGCGAACTATTCTTTTTGAATCAGTTGCAGCAGTGCCGGCTTCAGCTCAAAGTTGTTAGCCTCTATATTTGGTCTAACAATGCTCTCCGTCTGTGGAACTCGAACTGGGGTCATGTAATCCCCCAACGTCCTTGGAGCGAGTTGATTGTTTTCTGCCATTGGTTCCTCCTTAGGTTCCGTCGAACTTGATTCTTCTTTTGCTTCCTTCGCCTTCTTTGCTTTTGCGTCCTTTCTAAGTTTCCTTTCTGTCTTTTCTATCTCAGGATCAAACTGCAAGATTCGCGGGTTAGAGTACCTCGCATAAACTTAAGATCGAAAAGATGAGCAGAAAAATAGAAAAAAAAATAGAAAAACAGAAAGAAAAAAAAAACAAAGAATGCAGAAAAATAAATATGCAGAAAATTGATGCAGAATTTTAATGCAAAAAAATATTTTTGAAGAATGTATAAAGTGCAGAAAATTAAAACGTCCAATCTAAAAGTTAATTAGTTACTTATAATGTTGAAGAATTCGATCCCCGGCAACGGCGCCAAAAAGTTGTTGCGAATCGGCAAGTGCACCGGTCGTAAAGTAATAAAGTATACCGTAGTACGAGATCGTTCCCAAGAGGATCAGAATCTTGAAGCACTAGTTCGCTAATTGCGTCTTAGTTGGACAATCAAAATTGGGTTTGAGAGAATTATGATTTGAAGAACTTAAAATTGAAAACAAATAATAGCGTGCAATTAAAGAAAATTCAGAATTAAAAAGACAATTGAAAGATGATTGATTAAGAATTTCAAAACAAGCGTAGTTAGGGTTTCGACTTCCCCCAATCTCTTCAATATGTTATAAATTAAACAGTCAAGAATATGTTTCTTAATATATTGCCAATCAATTCTTTCTAAGTTAATTAGGGCTCAATTCCTTGTTACCCTAAATCTATGTGATCTTGAAAGAACTCTAGTTCCCCGATTATTTCCCAAGAAAACATGCATTAAGATCAAGAAATCCAAGATTGCATAATTACCCTATGTCTATCCCTAGATCACAAGGATTATGATAATTTTATCAAGTCAGGGTTCATGCACCAACATCTCTATTGTCATACAATTCCCCAAAATCATTCTATAAGGAACAAACTCATAGAAAGCATTAAAGACAGATAAATTTATTCAATTATAAAATGAACAGAATTCGTGTAACATCCCACGAATTTAAGGAACTATACAAATTTTCCCTAACCCGTAACCTTAACCCGTAAAGCATATCTTCTTTCCCTTGTACAGCCACACATCCAACCGAAGGCTTGCATGAATTCCCCTCTATCTATGCCCACTGTTATGAACAACAAGTCTGAGCTTCTTCTGTATATTTAGAACAGAAAACCGAGCCTATGAATTCCTCACAAAAACTGTGATGCTCTCTTGAGAAGGACCAACATGCAAGTTTTCATCTCCTTCACTCGCTGGTCGACTGAATGCAGCAGCCAAGGGGACTGCACACTAGCCTTCCATCCATATTTTTTCTCTTGTTCGACCGAAAGTGACTCTACGGAGGTGAAGTAAATGTATTGTTTTCTTGTTACTCCCCACTGTATCGGTCTGATTAAACTTCTTTCCCTTGTTACATGTTCAAGATACCGTCTTGCTGGAATTTTCCTTCCATTATATGTGGCGGCAAACTCGATTCCCTGCAGGACAGATCACCATTCCTAAACCCCGACCTACCTCCCACTACATGCAGAGGATACAAACCGAGTTTAAACCCCCTGACCTCCCTCTGTTTGGGCCGATGATGATGATAGGAAAATGTAAGTAATTATCAAAATCTTTTATTGCTCCTTGTTATTCGGCCTCTGCATGTATCTAAGAAAGATGCATTTTTTTATTAATCGTTCTCATCTCTCTCTGCATATTTGTCCGAGTTGCATGTATAGATTAGGAGTGTGGTTTCTGATGTTTTAAATTTCTGCCCTTACTGTCAGCCTTTGTGC